TAACACTTTTAACTACAACAAGGATAATTTTTACTGAGTGCATTGGTATTAGTTTCATGGTTGTTTTTAATAGCAAGACATTCTAACAACCTAAATAATAATAGAGATGGTTCTGGAATTATATATTGTGCTCATTCAGTGTGGGAGGGGACTTTTCACGGCCTTAAATAACAGGAATTGAGGCTCACTATGGCTATTTTGGAAACTAGATAGAACAGATGAATAGCCATTAGAAAACAAAGTTTAAAACTGAGACAAAAAATGATCTGGGTAGTCTTCTAAAGGTAGTTGTAAGCTCTGAAGGCTGTAAGAAACAGTTGTTACCAAATAGGATGGTGCCTCTTTTTGAAAAGATGGCCATCTGGGTAGATAGTACCTCTCCTTGCTATACATACCCATGCCTTCATTTTCTCCTAATGGACTTTCTGACAGTCTATGAGAAATTACTCTTTAACCCCCCAAACAGCACACCCACCTCACAGAAGACCAGACCAGAGTCTGGGGGTGGTTAAGGCATAAGCAGCCCGTACTTACCTTTGGCCTAGAGTGCGACATGGTTCCTCTGGAATATTAAGGCTGCCATCAAGTCCCAGGATAAAGAGCCAAATGCTTGCTTTTGGGTCTCTCCACATGTTCTCTGGTGTGTCCCTGGGCCTCAGTGACAGCCTATCTTTCTACTGGTTCTGATGTGTCCTCTTAGGGGCAACTGCTCTGAGTAGCCTGGAGGAGATCCATTCTTACCACCTGCCTCCCAGGGTCTTTTCACAAAATTAATAATAACTGTAAAAGGGGAAGGCAGAAACTCTGAGGAAGGCTGGAGGAACCCAGAAGAATTCCTATTCCTTGGCTATAGATTTAATAACAAGCACTCTTCTGAGTTGAGGAAAAGTCCGCAATGTGTTTTCATATCCATTTCTTACTCACTTATGATAATGCTTTTAAGTGATCAGATAATTTTAAAGGACCAAGAAAAAGAATGATATAAAATACTAACAAATATGAAATGGCAATAATTAGAAAAAGGAAATTTGGGACTATATATTTTTATTTATGGAAAATAAGCAAAAAGTTTGGAGATAGGCAAAATTTCTTCTTACTTTTTTTTATTGAGGTCAAAGTTCCTGCACTTTAGTGTTTATACTAATTTTTATTTAAATATTTGAATATTTGTTTTATTGAAATGTGGCTAGGAAAGATCTGTACAGTTCAGCATCTTGAATTGAATACAAATTCCCAAACATGGGTCTAAATGCTGCTCATTGTTCAAATAAGGAATCCAAACATTGTTACTGAACAAATGTTATTATTTTTAAAATTTAAACATTGCACAACTTTTAGTCTACAGACTGAATTTAGTTATGCAAATTATTTATTACTGAATTATTATCATATTAATTTAAACTTGCCTTCACTGATATCCTAATTTACACTAATTCTACAAATGTTTTACCATTGCTTTATTAATAACTTTAGTGTGATTGGTATAAAGGGCTTTAAGCAGTGAAAATACTCTGTGTTGAATATGACTCTAGAAGTGACCTTTGCATTAAAAACTATTTCTTAGAAGTAAATTAGTCCTTTAAAAATGTTAAACTTCTCTCTTAGAAAACCACAATATTGCAAGGATTGCACAATAGAATGTTTTTCAAATTTAGATGTCTCTAAAATAAGATGCATTTTAGAATCAACTCCTTCTTAGTTTTCATGCAACACAGCACATTATTGCTTTGGGGTATTAGCCAGTACTTCAGCATCCTGAAAAGGCTGTGGAAGGCACCTAACATATACAAGCAGGGTGCTCCAACTTCTCAAGTCTGGTGATGACATCAATGATCTACTCCTAACACTTTTACTTTATTACAAAATAATAAAAACAACAGAAAGAACTACCAGAAATAATAGAAATAAGGTTGCTTTGATAAAAGAGTGTAATATTTTTATAATACTTTATTTTTCTCCATAGGTCTTAAGTTCCCGGGAGCTACTAAGAATTTAACTCCTGAGCTTTGACCTACCCTTTCCTTTTATTTGAAAGACTCTCAAAGGAAATTATAACAATAAACTTTCTCTTGAACTTCCTTAAAACACAGTTCACTATAAAAATTTTTTTAATATATGCTAAATGTGTCTTTGTTTCTATCCAAAAAAAGTTGTGTCCCTGGAGCATTGGTTCCTTCGTACAATGGCCTTAGCCATCAATGACATGACTGAAGTATGGGAAGGTTGAAGACAGCTATAATGAAGTATGGTTATAATATTTATATAGTTTAGGATAGATTTGGGATGTAGGGAATCAGAAGTTATACTATATAATAGATAATTGTGATAGTAGTTCCTCCTTGTTTCATATAAATATGTATTATAGTTGAATTCAATATTTTCAGAACACACATTGGATAAATTATGATTAGAGCTAACATATATCAGTAAATTAATATATACCTAACACTGAATTTTTTTTTTTTTTTGTATGAAGCAAAGACATACTTCTTTAATGTCAATGCAGGAATACTGAATACTTTCAAAGGCAGTGATAATGAAAAACTTAAAGTTTTCAGTAAGGTAATTTCTGTGTACAGAATTTAGAGATTAAAGACCTCTAGAACTAACTTTCTTAAATACATAAATTGGACACGATGTGATCAATTATTGCTATAAATTTACTTTTTAAAATTATTACTTAAGGTTGTTATACTACTTCATGTAAAATTATGTTCTTTAGAAAATATGTTGCACAACTTGGCACAAAAATCCATAGCCTTATCAAAATTTGCTAAGAGGTGGTGGAAAAGGTAAGGATTTGATTGCAGTGGCTATATACACAAACACACACAGGCTTACACAGATACTATTCACTGTTCCATTACCTATTGCTAGATAAGAAACTTGTGAAAAATTTAGTGACTTCAAACAACAGCTATTTTATCATATTTTACTATTTTGAGGGTCAGGGATTTGAGCAGGGCTCTGCTCAGCAGTTCCTTTGTTTCACATGGCATCAGTGAAGTCACTGGGAGGCATTCAGCTGGTGGGTGCGCTGGTCTGCAGGATCCAGTAAAAACCCGCCGGATTCAGCAGGGGATGCTGGAAGGCAGCGTTCAACTGGGACTAGTGGCCAGAAGACTTGCATGGTGGTCTTTCTGGCATGGCAGTCTCAAGGTGGTGGAAGTTCTTACACTGCAGCGCAGAGCTATCAAAGAGTATGTTCCAAGAGACCTCAGTAAAGATGCAAGTTTCCTTATAGCTTAACCTTGAAAACTCCAGATATTCTATTTTTGAAAATCCTTATAGTTTCTAAAGCAAGCCACTGAGTTCAGTCCTTGATTCAAGAGGAGTGGAATTTGACTCTACCTCTCAAATGGGAGGAGGACCAAGAATATAAGGCCACCTTTAACTTACATGCACCTAAACCAACTGATGGAGCATCTGGGCACGGAAACTATCCCCAGACTTTCTATGTCTGCAATGTTTATGGCGATGGACAGCATTTACTTCTGCAATGTATTCTGGTACTCTGCCAACGGAAGATGAATCCAAACTCCAGATTTGAGCAATTAGATTCAGGCATTCTACTGTTATCCTATTTCTTCTTCACCAAGTCATGATGACCAAAAAGTCTTTTTGTGTGTCTGGTGTCTCTTAACCAGTTTCAGAGCTTTTCCCAGTCATGGATCATACAAAGTGAGAGCTGCAAGGATGCCAGGGATAAAATCTGGTCCTGTTTCACAGATGAGGAAATTTAGGTCAGAAGCTGGTTAGGGACAGAGCCACAGCTGGGATCTCCCGCTGCCATGCTTGAAGACAAAACCCTGACTTGTCTGTGGAGTGAGCTTCCTGTTCGCCTGATTCTTCCCCTAGAAACAGCCCCGCTGACCTTGATTCGGTATCCTATTTTATCATGAAACATTAAAAGAGAAACTTACTTCAAGTGCACCAATTTAATCTTGTATATCTAACCTATATCTAACCATAGTCAACAAATGTTTACTGAATACCTACCAAGTTCTGCACACACAGATGTGGCTGTCTCCGAGAGGTTTTCCTTCTTGTTACAAGGTCATAATACAAAGTTTACACTAATCCACTTTTCTCTGGAGCACTTATTCAATCATGCTATTTTATCTTCAAATACTTCTATAATAACCCCCTGCCTCCATCCCCTAGTCCCCCTACCTCCCTACCTTTCATATGCAGAACAGACCAAAGGGGCCAAGAGTTCTGAGTTTTTATTCCACTCAGAGTGCCATTTTGGAGTGGGTATTAGTAAAACTGTCCACAGATCAATGTGAAAGTCTAGTTGTTCTTTTCGCTTGTTTTGAGAGACTTTTGCTTATTAGATGAGGTGACAGATAGCTTTGACTTTATTTAGACCACAGGGACTCCAGGCAGCCGCCCTAAATACAGTCTTCATAGTTTGGGTTTTCTGTTTATATGGTACCTGTTCACCATTAGCTTTTGTCTTCTGCTGCAGCTAATTTGTCTTCCTCTTGAACCAGAAGGGAGAAGGGGAAGGGCCGTGGACAGCACTTGTCTGCGGACGGTGACACCTCCTTCACATCGGCCCACCCCAGCCCGCCTTCCCGAGCTGGGCGGGATCAATCACTGCTCTCGCTCAGACAGAAAGAGCCCAAGCCGATATTCTTTGCCCCGGGGTAGGAGTGGGAGCTTGGGAGAGGGAGGGGGCGGGCAAGCAGTTGACCCTGATCTACACTCCTCCCGCCCCCTCCCCCGCCCCGGAGACCTAAAAGGCCGAAAGTGAGTCGACCTGGGAGTGGGGTGAGGAGTGGAAAGTGAGGTGTGTCCCCGGAGACGTGGACCGGGGAGCTCAAGCCTGGTCGGGCAGTTCGCTCTTGTGGGCTCGGGGCTCCCGCTGGCTCCCGCCCAAGGGGAGGAGAAGAAACCAGATGGGCGGGTTCAAGCATTGGCGGCGGCGGCGGTCCCGGGGCCGCCGGCTCCTCCCCGCGAGTGTGCCCGTCTGCCGCTCGCCGCGCTGAGGCAGTGCGGCGGCGGGCGCGCCGAGGCTGCCGCCCAGCGCCCTCGCCGCGGCCATGCCCCGGCCCTAACGCGCCTGCCGCAGCCGGCGCCCCGCAGCCCCGCAGCCCCGCAGCCCCGCGCCCGCTGCCGCCTCTTCAATGGGCAACCTGCTCGGTGGAGTCAGCTTCCGCGAGCCCACCACCGTGGAGGACTGCGACTCCACCTGGCAGACAGACTCGGAGCCCGAGCCCGAGCCGGAGGAGCCGGGGCCAGGCGGCGGCGGCGGTGACGGCGGCGAGGGCCCGGGGCTGGAGCCCGAGCAGCCCGCTCAGCCCCCGGAGCGAGCCGGCGGGCGCTCCCGCATCAGTCCCGCGCCGGACGAGGACGCCGAAGCGGCGCGCGCCGAGCAGGTACGCGGCCCCGTGGTGGCCTCGAGCTGGGCCGGGGCGCCCTTGCCCCGGCGCCGGGAGGAAGGACGTCGCCGGCGAGAGGAGCTAGAGCGGACCTGCCTACGTGCGGAGGGCAGGGGCGCCGGGCGGCTGTTCGTCCTTCGCGGCCAAACCCATCAGTGCACACGCCGCCCGGCTGCCCCGCGGACCCGGCGGCCTGCGGTGGCCGGTGGCGCCGCGGCTGATCGCTGCCAACATGGGGCCTGATCGTGGGCACGACAAGGAAGTACCTCAAGGCAGAACCCAACTTGAATGGGTGTTTTCTTTGCCTCTGCAGCGCAGCTGGATGATGCGAAGGTGGGGTGGGAGGAACCTGTCTGAAAATAGAGGATTGTGGAAACCGGTCTAGTACGTCTTATTGGTAAAAAAAAAAAAAAAAAAAAAAATACCCAGAATAAGGTGGGGCTGCAGTTGATCAGTAGCAAGCACTCTCCCTTACGGGGGCAGCGGGGTGGGGGTTGTCTAACGCCTCTATAAAGTGTTGTAGAAGGTCCCCATCCGAAGTTAAAACGTCACAGTTTTTTCTACCAAGTAAGGCCTTTCAACCGAATTCAGGCCACCCGTAAAAATTCTATTTCACCCAGAAGACTTGTTGATCCTACTGTACTTAAATCATTTGCCTAATACAATTTGAAGGAGACGTTAGTAAAGAGATAAATATCCCATGTAACCTTTGATGGAACTGAAAATAATTCAGACAACTTTAAAAAGGAGGAACTGTAGAGCTAACCCTCTGAGGAAGTGTGCATCGTGGAGATATTTAAGGTTTGTTGTTCTGCATTAGGCCCTCCTCCATCAGCTATGGGAAAATGAGAGTGAAAAAAATGGAGCTTAAAGTCACATATAACCTCAGGGTTCTTTGCTGGAGGAAAGGAATCACCTCCTAAATATTACAGCTAAGGCTGCCCCATACAGCTTGTTGGTCATCTCTTTTTAGGTCAGAAGGAAGCATACAGTATTAGTACAGGCTCTATACTAAACAAGTTATTTCATTTAGCTGCAATTTGGGGGGGGGGGGGGGAGTAGCTGTTTTTAATTCTCATTTTAGAGAAAACAGGCCTAGAGAGAAGCTTGTTCAAGATCAGCCAGAGAGAGAATGATGCAAACCCAAATATATCTGTCACCAATGTTAGAATCTTTAACCTGTTGGAATTGTGAATATTCTTCTGCCCCATGTGTTCTGGTTTGCTGCTGGTTATTTTGCATTGAGAATTCAACCCCAGGGAAGTACTAGATGCTGTATTCCCTGTTTTTCCCTTCCACTTGCCTCGCAATAAATTAACCTTCTAAAGAAGTATGGGTTATCAAAACACACCAGGTCCATCTATATCTATGAGTTTGATAATTAATATTTCAATCCACTCCTTGCACCCCCAATAAATAGTAGACCACACCAGCCCTCCTTTTTTTCCTCTAATGATTATTTTTTCTTGTCGGTATCACCATCTAACTACTACTTTTTTTATTTTGCTTTTTGACTACCAACACCATTTGTTTCCTACTCCACAGTCAAATCCTTTGCAAGTAGTACTGGAGCTACCTTTAAATTACATCTCAAACTGACTACTTCTTGCCACCTCCTATTTGACAAGTGGTGGTGCCATTTACTCAGATGGGGAAGTCTAGGGAGAAAGCAGCTTCAGAGGTTAAATAAATTCTCTTGAGTTTGATACTCTATTGGACATCAAAGTTGAGTAGTTAATTACATCTGTGAATGGAACCCCAGTCCGGGACTGGAGTCCTCAGCATGTAAGATTGGTGGTATTTAAAGTCACGGGAAGATACCAGGTCATCAAGGAATGATGAAGAATGAGCACTAAGCCTTCGGCTCTCCTCAGTTTAGAGCATGCGAAGAGGAGGAGGAGTGAAAGAGGGACTGACAAGGGGTGGACAGTGAGTTAAGAAGAAAACCGGGGAAGGTGTGTTTAATCTGACAGTGTTTCAGGAAAGCGGGAGGCATTCATTGGCCCAGTGCTATTTAGAGGTCCCCTGAGTTGAACACTGAGAAATCATTTCATAAGATGGAGATTTGTTAGTGATGTTCACAAGTGTTATTTTGATGGGATGCTGAGGATGCAAGCCTGGTTGGGGTTGGTGATGGGAGAACAGAAGAGAAGGAGTCAGGCAGTATGAACAACTCTTTGGTGGTTTTGCTATAAAAAGAAGAACTATGAATCGGTCATTGAGGGGGGATTTGGATCAAGGGAGGTTGTGTATGTTTAAGATTAGAGATGCTACAGCATGCTTGCTGAGGGGAATGAGCCTGAGAAGAAGGAAATTTTGATGATACAGAGAGAAGGCACAATATGTTACAGAACGAAATCTTTGCCTGAGCAGCTGAAAAGGGTTGGGATCGAGAGTGCAAAAGGAGCAGAAGCTGGAGGAGCAGGGATGGATACTGGCAGGTTGGTACTCTAGAAGTTGAAGGGGGCAGTCATTCTCATGATAATTCTGGGCATAGGTAGGGCATGAGTTGTTACCTTCATTTCACATGTAATAAAATTAAGATTCAGTTAAGTGATTTGCTTAAAGCCTCACAAATAAGTAGCAGAATCGAGACTGAGCCCAAATCTCCTGCTTCCAAGTCTTGGGCTGTTGAAATTATACCAAAGTTTCTATGATGATCCTTTACTTTTAGTGGAGCTGAAATTGATTTGTACCTAATTAGTTGAACTGGGAGATCATGGGATTCTAGTTCCTTTCCTGTCATTGAGCTCTGGATCTTGTTGAACTTCTTTAAGCCTGGGTTATCTTGTTTCTAAGACAGAAATACTAATACCTGCCAGCCAGGTGTGTTAGAAGAATCAAATGAAATAATATACATGTAAATGCTTTGTAAATGCAAAAGTGCTTCCTATACAAATGTAGGATGATGATTCATATGGTTGTAGCTCAGGCTAAATAGATCGAGAAACTTGCTAGGCAGAGCTATTTTGAAATGTGTGGCAAGAAGCAGAATTTAAACTTTTCCTTGCTTATGTAACATGATAGAGTAGCTAATGTTGAACATCAGAGGATGTGGTGTTAAGGCATCTCTGTATTTGTAGTAATAGTGAGAATCACACCACTTCAAAAATGTTAAAAAATTGCTTACAGTATACCAGTCTCTTAATAGGGATGGGGATAGGGGATGATGAGAAAAGGATCGTCCTTGTCACCAGTCTCATCGTCCTTCTGGGAGACACTGGATACGAAGCACTTAGTACAGTATTATTTAGTGTATACATGGAATGTAAACCAATTACATTGACCTACATCTTATATTTTAAAAATTACTTCGTGGTGGTGGGAATTTTCTTTAGAATATAAATAGTATGAATGAACTACATAGTCATTACAATCTGAAGCTCATTACATTTGAGAGCTTTTCATTTCTTTGTGTGTATATATTTTAAATTTGCTAGTTTATATTACATTGTATTAGTGGATTAACAGATTATTCATGCCTCTTTGTATTTATTATGGTGCTGTCAAGGGTCGATTTTTGAAAGCTATTTAGTTTATTTAAAAACCTCTTTTTCTTACATAAATTACTTTATTCCCAAATGAAGCTAAATATTGCAAAATTAATGACAATTTTCTATGTAGACTTGATTTATTCTTTTCAGTATTATATACAGCATTCTAAAATAAGTTTTGTCATAGAAACACTTGTGTGACCTATGTTTTAAATTCATTTTGAGTTCTATTTCTAATGGATATTGATCTATAATATTTAGCCTCAGTTAGGCTTTTGGTAAATAATAAAGTTTTTTATTTAGTACAACACATTAGGACAAATGTTATTGGGTTCAAATCAGGAAGATGGAATGCCAAAAAATGTTGTTAGTAAAAAATATTAGAAGTACATTTGTAATATTTTCAGTAATCTGGACAACTTGACAATTTTTAGGCTTTCTTTATGGATGTTCATTGTTTTACATTTGTTCTGAAAATTTCTCAGTGAAATTATCTTGCTTCAACTTGTGAATGGAATTTCATTTTTTATTTTAGAGTGCTGATTCCACTGAAGCAACTGCCAAACCAAAGAGAAGTTTTTATGCTGCAAGGGATTTGTACAAATATCGACACCAGTACCCAGTAAGATATGGAATGCTTTTTTTTCTAAAATGAATATAAAATATTTCCCTTCTGTTTTTCTTATTTTGTGGTGCCAATGAGCAAACATGTAAGAAGGGTCTCTGTGCTTTTTCTAATATGGCCATATGCTGCAGATTGACTTATTTTTTCCTTTAGCAGAACTTCAAAGATATCCGATATCAAAATGACTTGAGCAATCTTCGCTTTTATAAGAATAAAATTCCATTTAAGCCAGATGGTGAGTAATCTGCTACATTGGTAAGAAGCAAAGTCTAAATATAAGTACATCTAGTTATTCTTTGTTTATTCTATGGTCAGTACATTCTCAATGCGTTTGTTCACGGTCTAGATTTATTTTGCTGTGCAATCTGCTGTGTCCCCAGAGTGCTACACCTGAGAATTGTTAGTATCCATTTGGCAAATTCTGGAGGAATAACTGCAGATTAGCAATACAGTCCCACCACCTGTTTACAGTGGCTATTATCTGAGAAGTACCAGGGGCCATTATTTGAGTGGAAAGGAGAGGACATTTTTAAAACCATAGAAAATGAGATTATTAAGGATTTTAGAGATCAAATTCTGCTTCTTCATTTAAACTGTAAGGTCACTAGCTCTCACACCTTGAATGACTGACTTGTCGGGTGACTCAATTATAGAGTTGGGTCTAGGTTCCAGAGTTCAGTATTCTTTTACTGTGCTGTACCTGAAAATTGTTTAGAACATAATTGAAAAGTGATATTTATAATAGAATTATCTTTCCTGTAGACTTTCAGATTCAGGAGTCAGGGAGCTGTAGCAATCCTAGTGTAGTATTCCAGTATCCTGCCTGAGAAGGGAACTACTACACACTGCAGGTGTCCATTCAGCTCTGCCAAAAACTGGGCTCCTCCTTCAGAACTCCACAATTGCCTTCCTAGGATCTTTTCTAAACCTACCATGAAGGTATCCATATTCTACTGAGGCACCATGCTGTGATTCATGTGGGTTCCTGATTTTATCCAGGTCAGAGCAGCAAAGCTGGCTTCTCTCCTTAGAGCCCTTATCTCTCTGAGGGGACCAAATGGCCCTGGCTCTTGCCCTTTGCACTCAGTGGAAATTGAGCCAAAACCACAGCAATATGAGTCAGGAGTGAGGGTCATGCATTGCAGAACTTTCAAGTGGCAGGATCTTGCCTCTTTGGTAACCTAAGTGGAGGGAGGATATCTAAAGGCTGGAGGAGTGTTTGGAGTAGGAATGCGTTGTGTGGTGGACTGAGAAACACACCAGTTGGGAGTTAGGACTTAGCCCTGCCGAAGTGGCTGGATCCATTTGTCTTTAATTAGCTTTCTAGTGTCCCAAAAATCTGCTCTGATTTGGAGGGAAATCTCTGGATTAAAATGCTCTGTTGTATTTACTAATTATAGAAGCACACTGCTTTATTTACTCATTGAAAAAATATTAAACTATTAGTATTTTTTTGAAATTTGGGGTAAGAAAACTTTTTGAAGAAATGCAATGATAGATTGTTAATTTGGCTCTGATTTGAATTTACTAAAATTTACATAAAGGATTACCTTCAGATAGTAAAAACATTGAACACAGAGATATGACTTAACTGAATTATTTTTATATTTCTAATAATGGATTTATTTTGGAGGTAGTAACTTAAAGGAATAATTTTAAACAATGCATTCATTTTTCTTATAATCTTCATCACAAAATTTATTTGGAAACCTTATAAGATAGGTGAGGGTCAGAAATTTTAGGTAAGGTTACATAAAATATTATTCTAGTTTATGAAATATAAATTAATTCACACACTTTCCTCCCTAGTATGTGTATACGTACACACACACGTGCGCGCACGCACACACGACAGTAAGCATAAGCCGGTAATAATGTATTTTACTTATTAAATAGGAGGAGGGGCAGTTGGAAGGGAAAACGAATGAGAAACTATGGAGGTAAATGGTTTCAATATGCTGATAAAGCCACAGTATGATTGAAAAACAACTTTTTACCAAACCTTTTGAGAATGGCCCTCCACTAAAAACTGGTGATTTCTGGAGCAAACAAAAATGAGTTATGTTTAGACAAATATTATGTTGTTGTGTTTTTTTCTATAAGATTAACTAAATAGCCACATAGTCAATTGAAAGGACCTAAACAGATTTAAGCAGGAAGATTTTGTTATCATAAGTTCTTACAGGGGAATAAGGGAACATGGTAAAGAGGGCTTACTTTTTAAAACCAGAAAGACCTATGTTCTGTTCCTACATTTATTCTTTTATTAATGTTTGACTTTGAACAAATAATACAATTTCCTCATTAGTAAGATGGAGATAATAGCACTGATTTGGGAGAGTTCTGTGACGATAAAGGTAGACGATATAGATTGAATATAATAGGGGCCCAACATATAGTAGATACTCAACACCTTTTTCTTTTATTCTCTTTTTATTCCTCCTTTTCTTTCTCCATTTCTTTGCTTTTCTCCTCTTTTGCGTTCTCCATCTTTTCTTTTTTCTTGGTTTTCATTCCAACCTGATCCTATCTGGTATTTAAAGAACTACATGACTCTTTGGGGCAGGGTCTGCATTCTAAACTTTTTCTGTATAGGCCAGATAGTAATTATTTTCAGCTTTGTGGGCCACGTGGTCTCGGTTGCAGCTACTAAACTCTGCTGCTTTGCTGTAAACACATAAGTGAATTTTATTCATTGTGCGTGGCTGTCTTCCAATAAAACTTTATTTATAACACAGATGTCAGACCATAGTTTGCCAAGCTGTAGTGTAGAGTAACACTGTTGAATAGAACTTTCTGCAATTTCAGGTGTCACATTAAAAAAATTAGGCTTATTATGTAACTAAGTTTATGTCATAGGGAATTCATCATTTAAAAGCCTTATTCTTGTGTGCTGTTATTAATATTTTAAAAGTTTTAACATAAAGCTTAAGTGATAAACCTTAAAATGCCTTAACAATGTTTTAAATGTCTCATTCATTTTCTAAATATTTACTGTTTAGGTGTTTACATTGAAGAAGTCCTAAATAAGTGGAAAGGAGATTATGAAAAGCTGGAGCACAACCACACTTACATTCAATGGTCAGTTACATATTATCTGTCTTGAACCATGTCCTGTTTAATCGTGTATGCTTTCCAGACAACATTAATATAAAAGTATTATTTTTCTAAAAAATAGGCTCTTTCCTCTGAGAGAACAAGGCTTGAATTTTTATGCTAAAGAACTAACTACATATGAAATTGAGGTAATGCAAACTCATTTTATATGAGATGGACAAATAATATTGCTATTTTATTCGTCTGGTAACTTCTGAATCACTTCACCTGACTTTTTTCTTTTCATTAGGAATTCAAAAAAACAAAAGAAGCAATTAGAAGATTTCTCCTGGCTTATAAAATGATGTTAGAATTTTTTGGAATAAAACTGATTGATAAAACTGGAAATGTTGCTCGGGCAGTTAACTGGCAGGAGAGGTTTCAGCATCTGAATGAGTAAGTAAAGCCCTTGCTGTACCTCGGGCCAGCATGTTCCCTTCCCATGGTTGGAATTCTCTGTGGAACCCAGGAACAACTAGCAGATGGAGCCAGGAATTTGAATTCAGAAGCTAGCCTGAAATGCATGTTATTCTCTGCTCTATATTCTAAAACAAAACAGAACAACAACAACAGAAAGAAATTCCAAGTAGGAATATGGCTATTCAGCTTCAGGGCTGTTTCTTCCTGTAACCTCTCCCCTGCCCATAGCCAGTGTGGCCTCTTTCCCTTTCTATGCCCTGTTTCTTGTCATTTATTGTTATTGTTTATATATAGTTTTCCGAATCTTGTCTACTAGGCAGTAAGCTTCTTGTGGCACAGTCTGCTCCTCAAGCATGGTGCCTTAGATTAAATCCGTGGATTAAGCCTGTGACATAAAAATCATTTTGTAAGGCTGAGATACTCGCATACATTTTACTAAAGAAAGAGGGAAAATTCAACCCTTTGCTATTTAGGTCAAAAACAAAAGGCCGTTTTTGGTTAATAAATCTTAAAACCTATAAAGGAAATTTTAACAGTTTATTTGGAATTGATTTGCTTTCTTCTTTCGCTTAGGTATTTATAACTTTCGTTACTACTTGTATCAAAAGTTTATTTTTCTTATTTTTTTTTCATGCAAGCTGGCTTCCCCCCGTCCCTTTAATTATAGGGTGACTTATGAGTGCTGGACTAGAAAACCAACAGCTTTAAAGGATTTTTTTTTTTAGCACATTTTAATTAGCTGAACTGGGCAAGTACTAAGAGAAAAAAAACTAAAATTACCTAAGAAATTAAAAAAAAAATAATCTGTGGGCTTCTTCATTTTCTATACTATTCTTAACCTCCCCCTGCCTATTTTGTACCTACTATTTATGCTGCTTATTCCCTCTACCTTTTCCCCCATTCTTCCCACTCCCACTCCCCTCTAATCTCCATTTCTGTGATTCTGTTCCTCTTCTAGTTATTTGCTTAGTTTGTTTTTGTTTTCTTTTTAGGTTCAGTTGTTGATAGTTGTGAGTTTGTTGTCATTTTACTGTTCATAATTTTTAATCTTCTTTTTCTTATATAAGTCCCTTTAACATTTCATATAATACGGGCTTGGTGATGATGAACTCCTTTGCCTCGACCTTATCTTGGAAGCACTTTTTCTGCCCTTCCATTCTAAATGACAGCTGTGTTGGATAGAGTCATCCTGGATGTAGGTCCTTGCCTCTCATGACTTTGAATACTTCTTTACAACCCCCTCTGGTCTGCAAGGTTTCTTTTGAGAAATCAGCTGATAGTCTTATGGGAACTCCTTTGTAGGTAACTGTCTCCTTTTCTCTTGCTCCTTTGAGGATTCTCTCCTTATCTTTAATCTTGGGTAATGTAATTATGATGTGCCTTGGTGTGTGCTCCCTTGGCTCCAACTTCTTTGGAATACTGTGAGCTTCCTGGATCTCCTGGAAGTCTATTTCCTTGGCCAGATTGGGGAAGTTCTCCTTCATTATTTTTTCAAATAAGTTTTCAATATCTTGCTTTTCCTCTTCTTCTTCTGGCACCCCTGTGATTCGGATGTTGTAATGTTTAAAGTTATCCCAGAGGTTCCTAAGCCTTTCCTCATTTTTTTGAATTCTTGTTTTTTCTGTTCTGGTTGAATGTTTATCTCTTTCTTCTGCTCCCAATTTTTGATGTGAATCCCAGTTTCTTTCCCTTTACTGTTGGTTCCCTGTATATTTTTCTTTATTTCATTTTGTGGAGCCTTCACTTTTTCCTTCATTTTGCGACCATAGTCAACCAATTCAATGAGCATCCAGACTACCGGTGTTTTGAACTGTGCCTCTGATAGGTTGGCTGTCTCTTTATTGCTTAGTTCTATTTCTGGAACTTTAACCTGTTCTTTCATTTGGGCCATATTTATTTGTCTTGTGGTGCCTGTTATGTTGGAAGGGGTGGAGCCTTAGGTATTTACAAGGGTAGGGCAACCCAGGTTGCTGCTTTGTGACGCTGTATGTGGGAGAGGGGTCTGAGAGGGAACACTGCCACTTGCTCAGCTCTTGGTGGCTTTCAGTCACTTCCCCTGCTACCCACAAGCAAATTGGACTCTTCTGGTGCTGATTCCCAGGTGGTTGGGTTTGTGTACATTCTAGGACCCCGTGGGTCTCTCCAACGAACAATCCTGTGAGGCTGGGAGTCTCTCCCGCCGCTGCAATCCCCACAGGTTTTTACAGCCAAAGGTTTTGAGGACTCCTTTTCCCGCACGGGAGCCCTGGATTATTACAAGATTATTACATTATTAAAACAAGAACTTTCATCTTGTTTTAGTAAAATAAGTATTAATGTTTAAGCCTTTCTTTTACTTTATTAGTTATAATCAACACTATAAAATGGTGGCTTGTATTAAAATACTAAAGATATGGGCAAGAAGCTTAATGGTCCTGATTAGAAGACCCATTAACTCATGAATCAAGTTAAATTTAAATAGATGGGCCACTTCAAGCAGGGGTATATAAGCCTCTGCTTAAGCAGTGCAGGTAGCTAGCTCTGGACAAAATTTCTAAGCACTTGTCATTCTGTCAGAGAAAGCTGTATGCAAGCAGGCTGTTGACCTCCAGGATGGCAGAAGTAAATCTTTGGAGAGGATCAGATAGTCCCTCACCTTTCAGGTACTCATGTTTGTCGTTTTAGAGAATCTCTGTCTCCAACTTGTTTTTGGTTGGAACAGTAATCTTGTTTAGCAAATGTTTGTTGCATGAATAAATGATGAACCTATATTTATCCGCTTAAATCCTCCTTGGGGTTTTATATTGTCAGAACCTTTAATTGATAGCTGGAAACTGAGCTCTTCTGAAGGTTTTAGTTAAATGATCTCCTGTACTGAGCCAGGGGAGGGCAGCCTGAAGTAGCTGCCACGTCTCACTTCTGTGCTTCACCCAGCTGCCTTACCTCCCACCATCCATCGTCTCTGTTCTATTTCCTTCCCTTGGTTATTGCATAGAGCTTTTCTAGCTGTGAATTAACTGCCTTACATTCTTCCAGAAAACAACTTTCCTTTGAAGTTGAGTTGCCAAAGAATTATATTGACTAGATTTGAACAAATTATAGGGGATTATAGGGAGACTTCTATTTCATTTTCTTTCTTTGATTGGGTTCTTTTTTGATTTATCCTTAAATGTCATAACTTATTTGTGTTTTAATCTGTATGTTATCTTGAGCTTGTTAGAGTAGACAGGGAACTTTATAATAGCCCACCAGACAAAAAGTATTGAATGAAAGTGGAATGAAGTAATGTTTAGTGAATAAGTGACCATGACTAAAAGGAGTGATATATTTTCAAATGTGACACTACCAATCATTAACATGTATTTCCAATTTTATTTGTAATCACCTTAGGTGCCTGAGCCATATTTTAGATTCTGGAATCTCTTCCACCTTTTATTTTCCTTTTTTTCTTTAAATTTTGTTTTTCTGCCTTTTATTTTCTGTCTTTTGATTCTTGCCTTTTATGTATTCTCTCTTACACCATTTTGGTCTTCCTGACAACTTGAGCCCTTACCTCTGCCTGAAGTCTGGCATCTCTTGTTTATCTGCTGTATAAACCCAAAGACTGCTTATAGTATTAGGAGGATTTTAGCTACTCTTCTTTCTTCCATTTTGTCTTTATTTGTGACATTTATTTCAAATCATATTGAAACACCGAATTTCTTCCTTATATAATTTTGTTCCATGATCCCGATCTTTTTTCTCTTCGACCCATGTTTTTGTCCTTTTCCACTATTCTATAAATATTTTTAATTGGAAAATGTGTAGATACAGATACATGTGTAGAGAAATTTTATTTTAGCCATTCATCTTGGATTGGATATGTGAAATTAAGCTGGTTACAAATATAGCACATTTTATTGTGTCATATAACTCATCATTAATATATTAAAAATATTCTTTCACTTTTCCATACTTCTCTTTATTGAAGATTTATGAAGCAGATATTGCCCAAGACTTTCATCACTGTTTTTAGAGTATACAGAATTTATATAAGCCTAATAAACAACTTAATTCTGCCATTAATGGCACATTGTCTTAACTTCACCCAAATTTGTATTGTCTCAGAATACCCTTTTTCCCAACTATAATAAAGTACAGATTTATAAGACTGCAATATAATCTGTGCTGTGTTTCACCCTTGCCCTCAAAGAGTTGAATATTAAGATAATATTTTTTTGGTAAACATCCTGAAGGATAGTGATGGTGATGGTAAAAACTGTTGGACTTCTCTTTTCTAGTGTTTGGTTAGCCCAAATCTGAAGGCTTTTGTCCAAACAAACTCTTTTCTTAAAATGAGGTCCTGGAACCACTTCCTTGTTTCCCTCAACTAATTCATTAACATCCTTCTCCATTATTCCCAAATAATTTGCTAGTTAGTTCTAAGTGAAATACTGCAAGCACACTTTTGGAAGCCAGGAGAGATATATGCAATGCTTGTATAAAGTGTAGTGTCTGAGGTGTAAAATTGGTTTTAGGAAGTTGGAAATAAGTGATGGTTATAGTTGTGTTTCCCCTACACAACCATATGGCAAGATTGGGAGAAAAAGTAACCTGGGCTCTTGACAACGCATGGTTGCTCCATGTACCTGAAGATTCCTTTAGGATGCAGCCAGGCATGTGTAACAAGGCAACTAATTCACTACTGGGCTGAGAGAAGTGGGGGAGGTAGATTGTGAATTGTGACAGAATGGGATTTGGAAGCATTCATCTGATAATGGCCTTAGTATTGGGACAGAGGAGAAAGATGATAGTGCAATCTGGGGAAAAAGGCATCTTTGGAATTAAAGGTGTCATTGGAAGGAAAATTTAAAATTCCCTGATAGGGAAAGAGGAACAGAGAGAGACCTGGGAGGGAAAAATGATTAAGTTATAAAGTTCGAATAAGTACAAACATGGTGGCTTGTAATACCAAATTTTAAAATAATAATTAATAATATTAATGTTAAATACTATCTATTATTTAATGAGTTCCACACGGCCCGCGTATTTATCAACGCATTTGATTCTTACAGCAGTCCAGTGAAGTTCAGCAAATGAGGATACGAGCCTTAGCGAGTTGTCATTTCACAGAGTTGTAAGTGGCAGAGCCAGGGTGTGGACGCCGGTCTGACTCCGAAGCCCGTGCTCCCCACTATTAAACTATGCTCTGCTAAATAAGTCAGTGTTGCATCTTTTGTCAGAATTGTTCTAGCAAGGTAGAGTGGTTTTTTGCTGCTTTCCTAATATGGTGGATTTTGCTGACCAGCTGATAGTACAGATCATACCATTTAGTTAATAGCTTAATATTGTGTTTAGGCTCAGTATTGATTACCTGTGACAGGTACAGTATGTTGCTGTTGTTGCAAATAAATACTCTAGCAGATCAGTCATCCTCAGTGTATTTAAGAAACAGCAATTCGACATCAGTGGGAATAAGTTTTAATCTAAATATTTTTCAAATATGAAGAACTTAAACACAAGGAGAATGTATATTGTATGTTTGAGTTTCATATGATTGACAGTGTGTTGAGGTATAAGGGTTTAATACCTTCTAATTTATTTTTCTTAATGGTGTCTCTAATATAACTTTTGTAAGAATTATTTCCATGGCTTAAAGTTCCATAAAAAATATTTCCCCAGTAGTTTTTATTCTTCTGTTTTCCTTCAGCTGGTTCCCCACCCACTCATTTTATTCAATCATCTCTTCTAGGTCCCAGCACAACTACTTAAGAATCACCCGTATTCTTAAAAGCCTTGGTGAGCTTGGATACGAAAGTTTTAAATCTCCTCTTGTAAAATTTATTCTTCATGAAGCTCTTGTGGAAAATACTATTCCCAATATTAAACAGAGCGCTCTCGAGTATTTTGTTTATACAATTAGAGACAGAAGAGAAAGGAGAAAGCTCCTACGTTTCGCCCAGAAACATTACACGCCTTCAGAGAATTTTATCTGGGGGCCACCTAGGAAAGAAGAGTCAGAAGGAAGCAAAGCCCCGAAAACGCCTTCCCCTCCCACCTCCAGTCATAGTCAAACTTCTATGCACAAAAAATCTAAGGATTCCAAAAATTCCTCCTCAGCTGCTCATGTAAATAGCAAAACAGCCGAGGAAAAAAAAGCGGCACCTGGAGAGCCTGGAGAAGAGACAGACAGGCCCAGCGCGGAGCCCAGCAGCGAGGCTGCCAGGCCGAGGATCGCGGAGAAGGATGGGAGTGCCGGAAATTCAAACTCTCAACCAGAAAAAGCAACGAATAACCCCTCAGAGGGAGAGGAGAGTACACCGCCTCCTGAAGAGGAAGAAGAAGGTGAAAATCATAGCAAAGACTGTGAAAATCCTGGAAATACAGGCTCTCAGGATGATGTACTGTCCCAGTGAATTATCAGAAACCCATCGGTTTAGGTAAGGGAGGAGGAGACTGCTGCTCAGTTTATTCTAACGAACAGAGGTCACATTTCACATTTTAGCCATCTGTTGGTGACTTATGTTGTAAATCACCATTTATGTTGTTAATCATCAAAATAAGCATTTTGGTTTTTTGTTGTTTTTTTTTTGGATGACAACAAGTTTAATAAGATGTTTTAAGATAAAACCCAATAAATGAATGTATTCTTTAACACTTTTAGGACGTCAGTGTACAAATTCTGTATACAATAATTATTTTACAGTTATTTTTATGTATCTGGAAATAATCATGTAGTATTTGGAATATCAAATAAATTCTTTGGAGAGGTTACAGTCTACCTAAAGACAACCAAGAGGATAATTTCATTATGTTGCCACACCTTTGACTGATTTATGGGTTAATTATTTTTAAGCTGGAAGAATCTGGTCTTCTTAAATGTATTCAGAAAGTAATTTGGATTTTTTTTTTTATTACAACACCGTAACATGTTTTATTTTAAAATTCTGATAGATGAAATGGCTATTTGGGGGGAGCTATAACCTCCCCAGCCCATCCGTCAGTCTTGTCTTTCCCTCTTCCCCCTGCACTCACCCGCCTCCGCCCCCTCCGCCCCCTCCGTCAGCCAGCATGTGCATCCCTCCTGTACATTTGGGTGCACTCCTGTATTGATACTTAAATGGAACAGGGGAACTTTCCACTGTATGATTTCAAGAATTTGCTTTGCTTGAAACAATAAAATTTTTTCTGTATTAAGTGCTTAAATTTTTTTTTTGATACAAAAGCCCAGGAAAAGAATTTTGCTTCTATGGCTAATCCATATAAATTTGGTACTTGTTTCTGAATGTAAATGACTAAAGAACTAAAATATAAAAAAGGAAATTATTTATTTTTAAAAGGCATACCTCTTGCACCGGCAACAAGGTATTGTCCCTAGAACCAGGAATATCTCAGTGTTACATGGATCTTTTTAAAAATATTAATATTTGATGCATCTCTAAGTTGTCAGACCTTGAAATTGAGAACAGATTTGAAATTCCATGTACTCAGTTTTAGTAAGCACTTAATGTGTTAATATTAAGAGCAAATAATTTGTTTCTTGTAATGTTTTAACTAATTATTATTATACAATAGGAAAAATTAGAAGCACTGTGGTGAGAACTTCAAAGTATGCATACAAATATTGTTAAAGCAATGAATAGAACAAAATGTTTTGTTTTATTTAAAAGGAGTTGGCCTTTGTGTGTCTCTTAGGCGCTTGAAAAAAGTACTATTTACTTTAACCCCCAGGGAATGTTTACTGTCCTACTAATTAATCACATCCTATATTATCTTCTGTTAAATTTATTGGTCAGAGGAATTTAAGCAGAGTATTTCTGGAAAATAAACACACCAATAGTATGCCTTTAGATACATGATTTTATTGCTTTGAAGTTTACATGAAACATCACAGTTGCTCAAACTTGACTTTGTTTATGTGAAAGTAACACTCATGTTGTATATCATATTCCAATAAATATAGAATATTTATCATTTTTGGTTCCCAAAATATACCCGTTTTTGCTTTGTACTGTTTTGTGAAGTGATCAATAGGATTTGGGGAAGCAATTCTGCTTTTGAATTTCAGTTTTTTTTTTCATGGATTTCTAATGTGGCACTTGTAGCACCATCCCCACAGATTTCAATAAACAGCTTTGTAGGGTTGGGGGGTTGAGAACAGGGTGTCACAATTGGCTGAATTACAGAAATATGATTAATTCAAAACATCTTACCACTTTTGCACACATGATAAAGTGTTGAGACTGTTTTCTAAGTGCATAATGTTAAGAGCTTGTGACCAAATATTAAGACAGTGAATAGTGGACAGATATTAAAATAAATGACTATCATTGGAATTACTTAGAAACTGCAGTATATCAGAACCGTTAGACATGAAACATTTTACTTAACAATTTAACTTTGAGAATATTATTCCTAATTAGAGTTTTGATTAGATCATGCCATTTAATTTGAAGACATTTTGTCTCAAGGGAAAAACTGCCAGCCTTCCATGTAAAACAGTGGCCTTTTCCCACCATGTTGCTTTTTAAATGCGTATTCACATGTAACAGTGTGATGCCTATATTTAATCTGTAAGTAACTTATGAGAGAATTATTCAGTGGAGAGCAAGTAGATGTTTTTTCTTTTGCAGATAAAAATTATGAGTTTCTAGAATTTTCTCTATTAAGAATACTTTGTACATACAATAGTTTTTAGAATAAGATCTATAGATACATATTTATATGTGTCTTAGACATGAAACAACCCTCTGGGTTTGACTCTGATGTTTTGTATCTTTAAAAACTACCATATGCTTACAGAATTTTACCGAGAAGCTGTTATAAAAATGCAGTGAAGCATGGCTAAATCTCTAGGAACATTATTGAATCTTTGCAAATATATAGACTTTCTTGCTGTACCACAGGCTGTGAGGATACTAGATATTGGCTATTGATAAAATACTAACGTGTATTTCATGGCAAGCTGACATTGTACTGCTTGGTTAGTCTAGTGCATTTCTATTTTGTGCTTTCATATCTGTAAGGAGATAATATATGTGAAAATATTTTGAAATATTATAAAATATATAGATATAAGACATGTCAGTACAGTCAAGGATTATAACTTTAAGAATATTGTACCATTATATATTTTCATGCTTGATCTCATAAGAAATTCAGGAGAATCATGGTAGAAGTGAAAATATGTTTGCTTTATCTAGATCAGGTCTAGTTCTCAGTTCAAAAATTACTTTGTATAATTTTATTTTAAATTTAGTTTTTGAGACTACTTATTATCAGCTTCAAAGGAGAAAATAAAACCTACAACTCAGGAGTTACTAGAGAAGGTCTGAGATTTTTTTCTTAGTATTGAGACTATAAAATGAAAATGCTTTGGCACCTATCACGGTCATTGTTTCGTATTTAGTTGTATACAATTACCAACTTGGCCTTCAGCTTTCATTCTTTAATCTGAGTGCAAGTATGACCCGGTGAAAAAGGAAAGACAGGACAGTGTTACTCTTCAAGAATCATGTTAGTAAGTACACTTCCATATCAAGCTGTTAAAAATGTGTTGAACTGATGGATAAAAAATATTTGGTTAATTATTTAAAGTTAAGCTTCTGAGCTTGTATATAGTAGAGTTATGGTTGAGCGTATAATCTACTGAGTAAATCAAACAGGGTTTTTGTTTGTTTGTTTGTTTTAGAATTAAGGTCCTTCTAAAAGCTTTATTTTCTAACCTGAGAAAAAAGGGACACTCTTCAGCCTTCTTGGCTGGAGCTGCATCATGGATCTTTCGTGTCTGTCTGGGGTATGTGGGGATCTTTTGTCATAGGAGTAGTTTGGAAGATTTCTGTTTCGTTTACCACTTAGAAAATCCCATTTCCTCTTTTGGGGGACATATGCTAAATACAAAGTAGGCTGGGCTTAGACGTGCTAGAATCATTTCAAATGTAGGTGTAGCTGTAGGGCACGATGGCCTGGGTTAGTGTGTGATCTGGGAAGTTGGGAGTGCACATCTGTTGGCTTCTTTCCCCTTGGAAGTCTGTAGTGTTTATTACAGGAACAGATTTGTGTGGGTAATCTCTAGGGTGACAGTGAGTACTGCCCTGCTTCCTTTCCTGCTCTAGTTTCCAGCCCACCCAGCAGATTGTGTTCAGGGACAGACTGTTTTTAGAATCCCCTTATTTCTGAAGTTAATATAGTTATACATGTGAATGCCTGGAGATGTCCAGATGTGCCTTAACTAATGTAAACGGTTTTCATTCACAAGCTTAAATTTTTACTCCATTGTAAAATCTTGCCATAAGGAACTTTCCAAACCATGAATATAAGTTATTTTAATGAAATTTACTTTGGCGCTTTTTCATTTTGGAGAATATTCCATTTGTAACAGCAGTATCAGTTCAAAAAGAAGTGTACTCACTACAGTGTTCGACAATATGTTTGACAAAAATGTTTATAGTAAAGTGGTTATATTGTTATATTTACTTATACTTTTGCTTAATTTTTCTACATGCTATAATTTTCATCTTAAATATTTTTCAGTTACTACAAGTAATTTCGGGGTTTTACTTCCTGTTCTTAGATGCAGATGGACGCAGAAAATGGAATTCTATTAGAGATATTATTTAAAAATTTTATTCCAGTAGGTAGAGAAAACTGAAACTAATTTTAAAACTTGTATGCCATATTCTTATTAGAAACATATACAGAGTACTCTTCTTGCTTTTTTTCCTAGATTAGAGAGAATGTTCTTTGTCCTTTTTTTCATGATCTGTTGAAAAGCTTATTATTTTAGTTATTTGTAGGAAATAAGGAAATGACTTCTTAATAAGTTTGTTTTCTTGAATTGATATTTCCATGTGGAGGATACAATTAGGCACTTTGTTTTATGGCCCAAACTATGCCTGGAAGGAGAACTCAGAGGTAGAGGTAACTGAGAACCAGTGTGGGCATCTGGGGGAAGTGGAGCCAACCAACATTAGGCTGTAGCCTCTCCAATGGTATGATGTGTACCCAGAGCCAACTCTGGATAATGAGGGTGTTGGGCCCTATGATCTCTGAATTCTGAGGACGGTGGGCCACCGTGGACTCCATACACCATCATAATAAGCATCAATTTTTGTAAAATATCTGTTATAATTTATTTGCTACTATTTTGTAGCATAGGAAATTGTGAGCAAATGGACAATTGCTATATAAATTAAAGTTGTATCCTTATAACTATCTTGGGAAATATGTTAAAATACCAATTCCACCTACACTTTCTCCTACTTTTTCAATTAGAAATTCTTTTGGGTTACTCTTTCATAGATACATGTAAAAATGTCTTTTCATAAAGTGGTTCAGTATACTTTAAAAATGAGGTGAAAGGGAAAAGGCATCGAAGCTCACTTGTTATGCTAAAAGACTTTAAAAAAAATCAGAAATCTTAGGAAACTATTTTTATTTTTGAATTATAATGGAGTTTGTGGAATAGTTTACATTACCAGAGTGATTAAATAATAAGCTTTGGTCCTAAGAATTGTTCAAGTTCTGCACTCATTGGTTAATGTGCATTTCTTTTCAATGCTGAAAAATTTCATTTCATGTGAAGAAAAGAAAAACACAGACTGAAACAAAAGATTAGATATAGTACCAAGAAACTCACTGCAAAATATATAACCGATTATAGGTTTGTGCAAGTGCCAGCATTATTGGAAGCCGATGAGAAGTATTCAACAAAAGCTTCATGGTGGGGACGGATTTTCAGTATCAGCTCTTTGTGCTGAGATGATGCACTGGCTTTGGAAACCGAATCCCATTAACACTCTCATGTGAATCATGAATTCTGCCTACTCCACAGTAGGCTGATAGAATTAGTCAAATGATCAGATACCAAGTTTAATTCCTTTGCTGTTGTGTATGGATAGTTGCTGGTTTTACAACAAAAAATTAAATTGAGGGACTGGCTGCAGATTAGAGAGGAATTAGTGATAAGGTGTTGATTAATGAAGTAACTATCTCCTGTGCCATCAGGAGCTGACAGCATACTTACAGTGGCATTATAATTACGAGAA